AGAAATTGAACAATTAAAGAAAGAAAATCAGGAAAGGGAACAGCAATGGGAGTCCAATCTGAAGAAATGCGCGGATGGCTTTGAGCAATTGCAACGTGAAACTCATGAAAAGGAACAAATATTGAAGTCCATGCAGGAAAGTGAAACGCGATGGAAGTCCATGCTGGATACACTGGAGGCTGAGGCTAATGATAAATTGTTAAGAACTCGATCCTGTTCTTGTAGCTGTGGTCAACAGTGTAAAACAGATGCAATTGAGACTGAAGATTTGCAAATTAATTCAGAACTGGCTCAGATTCGAAATGAACGTGATAATCTCAAGAAGCAAGAGACGGTAAGTCTGCCCTAAGCCCCTAGTTGTTGAAAATATTAAAAAAGAATCTAAAAAGTCAAGATGTCACGATATTAAAAACGTAAAAATAATATTTTTAATTATTCCTAACTATTCATTCATCAAGCGAATAAAATTGTCCGTCTTGATGTTTTTAATACTAAGGTAGTCTAATCCTCCATGTATCAAGGCAAGCTGTTCCAAGTTGGAGAAACATTCTTGCATTTCACGTGCCGTGGCACAGTAGCTACTTGCTGTCCCAAAAGGCAACCTGTGATTTGCACTTTCTAATTTCAGATTCAATACCTACATTAACACCACTAACATACTAACTTCTAACCATTGTCCTTATAAAAAAAAAAAAAAAGAGGTTGGAGAAACATTCTTGAAATCTAACACCTCTTCAATTATGCAGGTCTTCAAGAAGATTCTAACAGGAATGGATGCAAAGATAAGATTTTATTATTATGAAAGAAAGGAAGCTGGATGGATTTCGTTCGGGAAAAATGTATTGGAAGCAACGATGACGCTGTTTTGTGCAAGGGGAGGAACCTTACTAGCTACCAAAGCCCATTAATGGATCAAAGGGAAGGGACGCTCATAACCATCGTGGGCTAAGGCCTAGATATCTCGGTGGGACTTGGACCAAGTGCCCTGAATAACTGGTGTTAAAAAAGACAATGATGTTTATTTTAGATGTATGGATCGTGTAATCTTTGATAAATTCGAGTCTTACCCCATGTAAATTTAATCTAATTTTATACTATTACTTTAATTAAGTGACTAATTTGTAGAACTAGTGTATCATGTATTACAAACGACATAAGCAGTTATTAAGGCATGTAGAATGAAAATAATGAAAAAGTACATTTTAGTATCACTTCACTATAGCTAATGTTATTTTTTATAGACACATTTTTTTTGTATATATAACTCTCAAATAAAACATGTCCCTTTCAATATAGAGTTTTCTTAACAATTATATCAATACTATTTGATTTATCTTACATTTTTTATATTCAAATAAAACAATTTTGAATTAATTATTATTCTTTTTTTTTTACAAAAAGGGAACGTTTAACACAGGAATTTTGTTTAACCCACATTTTTTGTCATTGGATGAAAGGTATTGTTGCAACTCTGTAGCCCTTTTGATTAGTTTAGTTTTTTTAAAGGGTTAAAAAATTAAAAGAAAGTTTGTTCTCAGAACTCGCCTTCAATAAGTAAAAGTTCTGTTTTTATTTTATTTTTGAGAAAAGAACAATGAAAGAGAATATTATTATACATACTTTTAATCATTTTCATTCAATTAAAAAAATCCTAATATTCTTATATAAAAATTTTATATTTAAACCTTAATTAAGATAAATAGGAATTAGAAGAAAAGACTTATATAAAAATTTTATATTTAAACCTTAATTAAGATAAATAGGAATTAGAAGAAAAGAGAAACTGGAACTATTCTATTTTTTTAACTCATAAAGTAGGTAAGATAACGAAAGAGAATGCCCGCAGCAACCATGACGTTCTACTGATCAATCAGTGTATGTATATGTACACCACTAAGGCTGTATTTAGTGAAAGGCCAATTTTTTTTTTTTTTGAAAAAGCTTTTTTATGAAAAAGTGATTGGTTAAAATTCTATATGAAAAATTAGATAGTTTTGTATAAAAATTGTTAAGTTTTATACTTAAATTTTGTTAAAATTTTATTAAATTATTAATTTTATTGTATTTAATAAGATATTAATA